AGCTATCGAGCTGAAATTTACAATGTCTATGGACGAACGTTAGGTCTATGACATATCTTCTACTTTTCAAAACTTTGATAATTTTTGGCATTTTTAGGACAATGTAAAAAACTTTTTTTTAACTTCTTGGATCAAAATCCAAAATTTTCAAAGATCCGAGATGTCAGTTTTGTGGCCCTGTTAATTTTTACTTTTGGTGAGAACATTTGTATCTATTTTCAAAACTGTAAGAGTGACGGCTCTTCCCGTAAAACCTCTTTTGGGTCGCAAATAGCAGATGACACTCTGAGTCGTCATTTTTGCGACCAACCTATCATAGGCTTTGTATTTTTTGACACAAACTGTAAAATTGATGCCCTGAGAGCTTCTTGATGTCGCCCGTATTGGTGTTTTTCCAGCCGCGAACGTATAAGGGGGGGGGGGGGTCCGTTGGACCCCCTTTGCCGTTTCGCCCCTGATCGCGCTAGAGCTTCGCGGAAAAAACGAGCGTGTTGCCCGTGACGAGAGGAAGCCGATGATACCCAAGTTTAAGGTTCTAGGTCATTGGTTGACCTTCCAGGTCAGGTCAATGACCCAAAAGTCGGGAAAATCGGGACCTGTTAGAACGTCGTAAAGTGTAGCTGCTATGGGGTTTTCGGGGTGCTGATCACGAATATCATGTTAGTTTTGATCACAGATGATGTCTTCATGCATTTGGGCCAGGTCGGGTCAGGTCAGGTCAACCAGTAGGGGTCCAGCCGGGTATTCCTAGTAGGTGGCAGCCGCCTCTGACAGCTTCGTAACATGTTACGAAGGTGCCAAAACTACTTCGTAAATGTTCACATGGTTGCTAAATTCGAATTCAGCTCCAAAAACTAGCCTGGAAACATGTAAAACTCGAAAAAGTGAACCGAGGTCATCAAAGGTCAATGACCTGACCTGACCTTCAGGTGACCTTGACACCCACTCTAATGCATGGGGGCAGCGTCATATCACATGTTTGAACGCTTGAAACCACGAAAAGACCGCAAACGCGCGGCTAATGCGAGCCGACATACGCCGAATCGCGATTCCGGCCAAACATGGACTCGAAAAGTAGGTCACTGGTTAAAGGTCATTTGAGTCAGGGTCATGAAATTTTCAGGGTTGGTGTGAAATTGATCAACTCGAGGGTACTGAAAGTTTCGTCGCGATCGGCCGCTTTTTACGCGAGTTATTCGCGAAAAACCAAGGGGGGGGTTCGTTCGACCCCCCCCCCCTATACGGGCGAGGGTTAAGTCATAGTGTAATAAATAACAAGTGAAGACACTTCACCAATGTATAATGCAAACTCATGTAACAACTTTTCTTCAGCTAGGAGTGGGCTATGTAGCTACTCACGCTGCAGTATGACGTAATAAAACGTCATAAAACGTCACTCCCTAAATCATTGAACGTTATCCTCAGCCTACATCATCGTCTTCCATGCCCCGTCATGATGGATTTTTTAATTGACTTAGACATGAAAACCCACGTTTTTTATTCCACTAAATGAAGGTAAATAATCCCAGTCTCTTACAGAATGCCTTGGTACACACAAAATCAGAGGACATCGATGTGCCACAGCCCGATGAAAGTCCTACTCGATCTAACTGCGCTCTAACATGCTGAACATCGTATCAGCATTCACTCTTATTCCGTAACGTTACTCTCGAGAACCCACTGTTTTTATTGCATGTATGGTCGCTTACTGAATGCATTGTGACAAAACCGGTATGAAAATATTCAAAAACAGAGGACATCATAACACCACCGGCTCCTAAAAAGTGTAGGGTATTTTGACAACGTCTCTAAAACATAACCCATTTTGATCGGTCCTTTGATTGACATAGACTCGAGAAACCATGTTTTTTATTGCATTTAATGAAAGAAAATAATCGCATTTTCTTATAAAATGCGTGAAAATATTCAAAATCAGAGGACATCGATGTGCCACAGCCCGATGAAAGTGCTCTTCGATCTAACTGCGCTCCAACATGCTGAACATCGTATCAGCATTCACTCTATTCCGTAACGTTACTCTCGAGAACCCACTGTTTTTATTGCATGTATGGTCGCTTACTGAATGCATTGTGACAGAACCGGTATGAAAATATTCAAAAACAGAGGACATCATAACACCACCGGCTCCTAAAAAGTGTAGGGTATTTTGACAACGTCTCTAAAACATAACCCATTTTGATCGTTCCTATGAAAGACATAGACTCGAGAACCCATGTTTTTTATTGCATTTAATGAAAGAAAATAATCGCATTTTCTTATAAAATGCGTGAAAATATTCAAAATCAGAGGACATCGATGTGCCACAGCCCGATGAAAGTGCTCTTCGATCTAACTGTGCTCCAACATGCTGATTGCTGAACATCGTATCAGCATTCACTCTTATTCCGTAACGTTACTCTCGAGAACCCACTGTTTTTATTGCATATATGGTCGCTAACTGAATGCATTGTGACAGAACCGGTATGAAAATATTCAAAAACAGAGGACATCATAACACCATCGGCTCCTAAAAAGTGTAGGGTATTTTGACGTCTCTAAAACATAACCCATTTTGATCGGTCCTTTGATTGACATAGACTCGAGAACCCATGTTTTGTATTGCATTTAATGAAAGAAAATAAACGCATTTTCTTATAAAATGCGTGAAAATATTCAAAATCAGAGGACATCGAAGTGCCACAGCCCGATGAAAATCCTACTCGATCTAACTGCGCTCCAACATGCTGAACATCGTATCAGCATTCACTCTATTCCGCAACGTTACTCTCGAGAACCCACTGTTTTTATTGCATGTGTGGTCGCTTACTGAATGCAATTTGACAGAACCGGTATGAAAATATTCAAAAACAGAGGACATCATAACACCACCGGCTCCTAAAAAGTGTAGGGTATTTTGACAACGTCTCTAAAACATAACCCATTTTGATCGGTCCTTTGATTGACATAGACTCGAGAACCCATGTTTTTTATTGCATTTAATGAAAGAAAATAATCGCATTTTCTTATAAAATGCGTGTAAATATTCAAAATCAGAGGACATCGAAGTGCCACAGCCCGATGAAAGTGCTCTTCGATCTAACTGCGCTCCAACATGCTGAACATCGTATCATCATTGACTCTATTCCGTAACGTTACTCTCGAGAACCCACTGTTTTTATTGCATGTATGGTCGCTTACTGAATGCAATTTGACAGAACCGGTATGAAAATATTCAAAAACAGAGGACATCATAACACCACCGGCTCCTAAAAAGTGTAGGGTATTTTGACAACGTCTCTAAAACATAACCCACTTTGATCGGTCCTTTGATTGACATAGACTCGAGAACCCATGTTTTTTATTGCATTTAATGAAAGAAAATAATCGTATTTTCTTATAAAATGCGTGAAAATATTCAAAATCAGAGGACATCGATGTGCCACAGCCCGATGAAAGTCCTACTCGATCTAGCTGCGCTCCAACATGCTGAACATCGTATCAGCATTCACTCTATTCCGTAACTTTACTCTCGAGAACCCACTGTTTTTATTGCATGTATGATCGCTAACTGAATGCAATGTGACAGAACCAGGGCTGCGGAGTCGATGGATTTTCGGCGACTCCGACTTCGACTCCGACTCCGGCTTTCAAAAACCAGCTCCGACTCCGACTCCGACTCCGGGCAGAATTGTCGACTACGACCGACTCCAACTCCCGACTCCGACTCCGCAGACCTAGCAGGGCTGCGGAGTCGACAGATTTTCGGTGACTCCGACTCCGACTCCGGCTCGGGTTTCTAAAATCGACTCCGACTCCGACTCCGACTCCGGTCACAACTGTCGACTCCGACCGACTCCGACTCCGACTCCGCAGCCCTGGACAGAACCGGTATGAAAATATTCAAAAATAGAAGACACCATAACAGTACCAGCCCCTAAAAGTGTAGAGTATTTAAACAAAGTCTGTATTATGCGAGTCATTTTGATCGGTCTTTTCCTTCACTTTGACTTGAGAACCTATGCTTTTTATTGCGCGAAATGAATGAGAGTCATCGCATGTTCATTGTTCCTATTGAATGCATTATAATATGCAAAATCAGGGGACATCGATGCGTTTCAGCCCGGTGAAATGCCCAGTTGATGAATAGCTGTTTGGCCCATTTTAACACTGTGTCGGCATTTACACAGCTTCCGAACGATATGCCTGATAAGAGAACATGAATTCTTAGGTATTGCGAGCTGTGGGGCCTGTCCCTGTGTTCATACGCTATATCCATTCTGGCATAAAGAAGACATTCTTAGCTTGTAAAGATGTGTAGTAAAAATAGGTTTTTGGTCTTCTCATTATGTTTAAGCGATATTTCATTTCAAGTTGCGTGTAGAGGAATTTATTTTCAGTGTTTTGTAGAAAATAAGGGTGAATTAGCTGTTAAAACCAACACTTATATAACTACAAGCTTGGATAGTAGTTTCTTTGGTTAGAAGTTTTCACTACAGGGATGAAACTTTTGCACTACAATGACGAAAACGTCATCAATCGTCATCAGATATCGTTGATTTTCTGAGAGAGCACTTCCGGCAGAAGAAAACGCATTACACAAAATAATCGAAGTGTCTTCACTTGTTATTTATTACACTATGGTTAAGTCATGGGCTATTCTGGTCAGACCATTGATCACTGGTAGTCGCCAAAGAAGTGTGAAAATCACGCAAAAGGCCGTCTTTCGCATATGGTTACTGGGATTAGCTCACGTCTTGCCAGTGAACACGGAACAGCACGACTGTTCACAAAACGGGAGTGATTTTACAAAGCAGGCCGCAGAGGGCGTCGGTCCATCATGCGCGTCGAAACAAATGGCGCAGAATCGAGGGGTTTACTGCAAGACGGCAGTTTGCATGTTTCTCAGTGTAGTAGTTAGGTATCAGCCAAGACAAGGGCGTGTTTGAGATTATCTCGCGGCCACAGCCAGTGATGTACGACGAAGCGACACTGAGTCTCACCTCACAGAACGGTAACGAATCCGAACACATCTGCTGCTGGTCTTCAAACTCTTTCGCCCTCTTGCCATCTAGGCACTCCTCGAGGGTGCCCCTTCTGCACGTGATGCACCTGTCGGCCGCGGCTCCACCGAGCACCACCGTCCACACTGCACCTACGGACCGCCAACAGCGCACACTGGTCAGAGCGTCGGGGTGAAACACGAAGGGGGTAAACACGCGACATTTCGAGGGGGCACCTCCAACTCCAACTGACTTGTAGCACCCTACTAACTGGTTTCTAGCGATGTGCCAAATTTGAGCACAATCGGCCCAGCCGTTCTCGAGATCGCGGCACCCTGCACGTGCGCTCGTGCAAAATGGGTCCCAACTGACTTGTGCAGTGTGCACGGCACCCTACTAACCGCTCCCTAGCCGTGTACCAAATTTGAGCGCAATCGGTCCAGCCGTTCTCGAGATCTGGAATCGACCCCTGCAAGCGCGCACGTGCAGCAGCACCCCAACTGTGGCACATGGATATGCATAATGCATTGCCTAGTGGGCGCCTACCTACACGCCAACTTTCAGCGCAATCGGCCCAGTAGTTACCGAGATATTGCAATTGTTGCAAAACTGACACCTCTTCGTGTTGCACGTTGCACGTGCATAAAAGGTCGCCCACATGCATCGGGAATAATCCAATACTTGGTATAAGGAGTCACCGTGGTATAAGGAATGAAGCTACCCTGCAAAAATTACCGCAAGCAAATCGGTCAAGTGGTTGCTGAGATATATGTAAGCGGAAGCCTCGCAAAAGCGTTCGCACGGCCGGCCGGCCGCTCATATTCAGAAATTTCCGTTTATCTACGTAAGACTCCGCTCGCTTCGCTCGCTCCGTAATAATAGCACCGATGCATCCAAAAAGTGCATAACCGTTGCCACCATGCGTACAAAAACAAGCGAGACAAAATTGATATAATGTGAGTTCTTTATTCCACGTCTGCGATTGCGCGCCCACTTGGCGCACCCCAACCAGAACACAACCACGCACGCCCTGCGCGGGCCGGCGGCCGACTGCCGGAGGCGGAAACCCCAGAGCCCTGTTCAAGTGCTCTGCGGCCGCCGCGGCTCCCGCGGCCGGGAGGCGGAGCCTAATTTCGGTTGGGTTGAACACCCTCGCGGCTGCGGCCGCTACGGCCGGCGACGAGAATGCGTTATGCGCCAAACTCCATATAGAAGCGGACATTGGGTTCAGATTGTTATTATGAGTAAAATATAAGTCATTTTCTTCATTAAACGGTTGTTTCTCTATGCGGCGATCATTTATGAAGCACGCCACACTTAGTTACCAACGAGCGATATCATAATAGCTCCATTTTTGGCAGTATACTGGCTGCGGCCGAGTGCGACGGTGGCGCCGACTATCGGCTACTCGTGCAACTAGGCCTCGCGGTGGCTCCGGCGGCCAAACTTCAGATGAAAACGTCCCTGTGTGGAGACTTAACGATAAACTGAAAAATGCGATATAATGCAATTAAATTCAGTAATATGCGTTTACCCTGACGTATTTTTTACCAATATTCGGGGAGAATTGGCACCGGGATTTGGCAGGAGAAGATAAAATGTTTATGAACATTCCAAATTGTATTATACCTACATTGCATTGTCAAAATATGTCTCAATATATGCGAGACGTCATGCTGTTTGCCGTAGTATAGCGAAATTGTTTCATGAAAGACTCAATACAAATATAACGGGAGTGATGTATCTTAATTTCATTTGGTGGTGCAAATATTTTTTTCTTCCATGTCCCGATCCCGGGTCGAATTTTTCTCTCCTATGGATAAAAAGTGCAGAGATGTGTTGCTCAGTTAGTGAGCTACAGCGTAGTATAGCGACATTTTTATGTAAGCTGCCTATTTTTTCATACTGTGCTAGTTTCCACGAAAATCCGTGCATACACTGACCAATATTTTTTTCTTCCATGGCCAGATCCCAGGTCCAATTTTTATCCGCTATGGATAAAAAATGCATAAATATGTTGCTCAGATGGTAATCTACAGCGTAGTATAGCGACATTTTTATGTAACTACCCTATTTTTTCATACTGTGCTCATTTCCACGAAAATCCGTGCTTACGCTGACCAACATTTTTCTCTTCCATGGCCAGATCCCAGGTCCAATTTTTATCCGTCATGGATAACAAATACATAGATATGTTGCTCAGATAGCGAACTACAACGTAGTATAGCGACATTTTTATTTAACTTCCCTATTTTCTCACACTGTGCTCATTTCCACGAAAATCCGTGCTTACGCTAACCAACATTTTTTTCTTCCATGGCCAGATCCCGGGTCCAATTTTTATCCGCCATGGATAAAAATACATAAATATGTCGCTCAGATGGTGAACTATACCGTAGTATAGCGACATTTTCATGTAACTTTCCTATTTTTTTTCACACTGCGCTATCACCCATCAAAATCCGTGCTCTCACCGACCTTAGTTCTCTGGCGTTGCCGATAGGCGGCGCTGGCGTCGCGTCCCGCGCTATGGCCGCGCCTGGCGCATAACGGGCACGGTTGTTTTGAAAGGAGATGCTGATCAAAATTTTGTGTGTAATGGCTTTATAATGGCTTTATTACTTCACTTACTACCTTTTTGAAGCAAGTTTTCCTTAACAACATGATAAAATCAACCGAAACAAAGAGCGAAATCAGCAATGTTTTGTCTCACGCGCGCAGTTTATGTCGAAGTTTCCCTGCGGTCGCTCCCGAGCGACCGCGGGAGCCGCAGGAAGAGCTACGCATTACCCAGAATGCTGCTCTCGCCTGATTGGCCGCCAGCTAAGCTCCGCCTTTTTGGCCGCGGGAGCCGCGGCGGCCGCAGACACTTGAACAGGGCCCGGAGTCCGCGCGCCGGCGGCGCCAGAGGCGTCGCCAGTCCACGGGCAGGGTGGGGCAGCTCGCGCTCACGACACTACAAAAATGAAGTGCGTTAATAAAGCAGCACCACAGGCAATTTCATACTGTGCGTGTGCTTACGTGTGTTCTGTACAAATAGGTAGTAGGTACACTATGATACGTGGAGCGACATGTGTGCTATGTAGACCATCCCAGTTTCGGCAAGATCACGGGTATCGGGACCGGCTCAGTGGCGCCGACTCAGCTATATGTTGTTAGCAGACGGGCTTCCGAAATGCACCGTGGACGACCTTTTTCGAGTCTTTTTTTAGACCAGCAGAGACTGGGATGAGACTACTTGTGCGTCGAACTCGTTGTGGGATGCGTCTCTATCTACTGTCTATGGCTGGAGTAGTTTCATGTTGTTTTCGTTCCTACCCCAAAATTAGAAGAATAATAATTGGTAAGTGGAGATAAATTGGTTTTGCTGTATTCTTTGTGGTTTTAAAGATATTGAATTTCAACTTTCTGAATAATGACCACATTTAAAAAAGCCTTGGGTGGGCGGAGCCTAGTGACGTCACAGATGAAGAGTAGTAGTAATGGCGGTCACGGCCCTTCAAGGTGAAGTTCGATAGTTTGCCCCAGTTGCTGCGACGTTTTGCGGATTAGCTGAGTGCGCTTAGAGTATTCTGGCCAGTTAAACATCGCTATGGATGAGGTAAGATCATTTTTCTTTGGGGGATGGGAGGGGTAAAGTAAACCCCTCGGCGAGTGGAATGAATACTGAAAGTTGGCTCAAACTCTGCGTTTGGTTTCATCTTGATCTGATGTCAAATGTAAGTTTGTGTTGTCACTTGTCGCCGTTACGTGAGCTAAAAAGTAGGAACTTCCTGAGTAACTGATCACTGCATAACTATGTAGGTAGTTTTCACGATATTCACAGCAAACTCACTTTGCAAAGTAATGCCTACCTACAATGATCAAATGTGACCAATGTATTGAGATGCTGTAGAGCTAATGCTTTTGCCTTAGGCTTATCCAAATAAAATGCATTTTTACCAACTTTTGCTGCTCAGTTTTCCTGTCATCTCCCCACTTGCAAGTTACTGTTGACATGAATATACAAATGATTGATAAGTTGCATGTATTGAAATGCTGGATGTGGGCACGGCAGGCTGACAGCAATGTATTGATGTGGAGCAAGCCACATACTGGATTGTCAAAAGTGGAATATTTAGTGATAGTTTAGTAGTATTTTTTCTTATCTTATGATTACTTTCCCGGTAAGACTTAGATCCATCTCGCAATGTGGGTACTCTCTTAGCAGACGTCGCCCGGGCTGCCATATCTACGTTTCATGTGCGCCGCAATGCCTTTTCAGTTAAAAAATAACAAAACATTATCTCACCTGACCTAACCATACCTACAACCTAGTCACCCTACAACTTACCAACCTGCAACCTACAACCTACCATTCCTACCTAACTAACTAGATATGACAGCTCGGGTGACGTCTGCTAAGAGATTGCCGCATTGTGTACTTTGTATCATTTTGTAAGAAACCTTATCAGAGTTGGGAAACCAAACATTTGCTGGGCAACATTTCCAGGGCAATTTCACTCCACACTTCACACTAGAAAGAAATGATGTGTCTGCGTGTGCTCAGATAGACAATGATACGTCAACTAAAGGTAAATTTGTGCGGTGCCCGTGAACACCCCTCATATGGAAGATATCCATCATCATAAGTGACGCTTATGGGAAATGAGTTGTACTGCTGGCCATCTTTGGATGAATGTTTTTTTTTTTCATTCTTTTCAGAGACCGCCCCTCGTTCGGAAGGTGGGAGTCATTCTGCAAGGCTTTGAAAAGGGGACTCCACAAAATCTGCCAAGAGTGAGCATGGAGATGATGATGGACTTCTTCAACAGCAATAATTGCTATATACAGCCTGGATGTCAGCACCACAAAGTTGAAAGGTAAATATCGAGACATGGTTATTTCAGAATGATAATATAAGGAAGGATTTGCAACAGGCTTAAATATAAGTAAAATGTTGAGAGGAGGGGGGGGGGGGGGGGTGAGCAGCAAAACTACTCTATATAAAGGCATGCTTGTGATGACTTTTGGGGGGTCAAATCACATATCAATAACATAACCCATGTGTCTAATGAGTACCCAGGGGCCAGGATCCGCCCTTTTGTTTTGTGTTTTGGAAAAGCACTGGCGTACATACATATGTTTTGTATTTACAGGTCTAAGGGCGAAAACTACAGTCCCGATGCCGTCGGATATGTGCAGCTGAAGCGTGAAGACTCCGTCTGCACTCTTCACGCCAGAGTGACGCCGGAGACCAAAGTCAGCGCTAAGGCTTACGAGGTGATCGTAGTCATAGATGAGCGGTCTGAGACCATCAGTAGCGCGCAATGTCAGGACTGTGTGGCTGCGGCAGGAGGTTGCAAGCACGCTGGAGCAGTCCTGGGTTGGCTGTTCATGAAAAGTTCCGAAAAGAGTGTGACTAGTACCGAGTCGTACTGGAAGAAGTCCCGCCTATCCTCGGTACCAGCTGAAATCAAAAGTGCCGCTATCGAGGTGCTGCGACCAAAACAACGCAGTAGCACGGCAGGCAGTAGCAGCACCAAAATGATAGGTGCAGATGCGTTGGAGGCCTTCCGCCAGGAAGTTCTGCAATTAGGAACCGCTTCCAACTCGTCCGGCCTATTCTTCCATCACTACGGAGCAGTGTCGCAGGTTCACGAGGTGAGAAGTGTGGGAGTAGATCGGCTCCTCCAGGCATATGTAGCCCACAGTGACGCCGCTGAGCCCCTGTCTGCGCCGGGGTTCTTGGCGTTCTGCAAGGAGAGGATGTGCTCAGAGTTGTGCGATCTTGTTGCGGAACAGATCTGTGACCAAAGTCAGTCCTGGCTGTGGCATGCTATGCGTTTCGGGCGCGTCACCGCCTCTAAGGCCTACGCCGCGGCGCACTGCCAGAAGTTAGATGGCACTATCGTGTCTGGTATCGTCGGCGCTGCAACGCTGAAGGACAGCGCCGCAATGGAGCGAGGTCGCGTTCTGGAGCCACAGGTGCTAGATGTAGTGGGGAATCACCTCGGTGTCGAGTTGCGACGAGCGGGGCTGATTCTGTCACCCAACTACCCGATGTTCGGCGCGTCCCCGGATGGGCTTACTCCAGACGGTAGCGTAGTGGAAGTTAAGTGTCCTGTTGACGAGAAAAACTTTCACAAGTACATCCTCGCGAACGGTCAAATTGCTGCTAGATTCCGCGCGCAACTGCAGATGTTGATGACGTTGGCTAGTGCAAAGCGATCGTTTTTCTGTGTAGCGCACCCAGACTTCGAACGGAGCGGTCGTGTCATCATTGTGGAGCTCGAGACCGATGAGAAGTACAGTGAGGACCTACTCAACCGCTGTGATAGCTTCTGGAAGGCAGCTGTGTTCCCAGTACTTGTGAAGTCTTATAGCAGCGTCTGACCTAGTAGCACTCAGCAGACTGTGATATGGTGACGGACGGGGACCACTAATGAACGGCATTCGTTAGTGTTGTTTGCTCAAACGTTTTTAGTAGAGTGGACTAACCCCGCGTTCGGAGTCTCCCGGACGACGAAGATTCTACACGTACGTCGTCCGGCCAATCCCGTTCAAGGCGGCGGGAGCTTGGCTGCGACCATGGAACGGGATTGGCCGGACGACGTAGAATCTGCATCGTCCGACAGACTCCGAACGCGGGGTAAGTTCATTGTAGGTTCTTCACTATTCCTTACACATCACAAAGGTTGGTGTAATTAGTTGCGCAGTGTCATTTGTACATAAGGGTTGTAACATTGGGCAGAATACAGCTTGAATGACATGTACTTTGTTTATTGCACAGTCGCACACATGTTGAGCGATCGATCATCCGCGTGACAGGGTAAAGGCCGGCGCGCGAGGAACCACACACATGAGCTGGGCGCGGCCGACCAGCGGGCTGACATCCATAACAGCGCATGCACAGCGCGGAACACGGCGTATCCGCGATCATGTACGTCTTAACTCTTTGTGATGCGATCCTGTAGGTTCACCAGGCCGCAGGCGATTCTGACCATGTCGTCGAGCATGTCCATCATGGTCAGTGGTGTACAGGCGTGCATGCTCAACATTTTAAAAACGCGGACACGCGCAATGACGCGTTCAATGTGGATCCGCACACCCGCGATTGTCCGCATTCGTACCACCTCGTCTGCATCCAGCTGTTTGCCGTTTTGCACACTAGGAGGTCTAACTAGCGAACACCCACGCCTGGCCAACTCAGTAGCCAGCTCCTTAAAACCACGGTCAGCAAGCACGGTCACGCCTCTGCGCAAGCATTCCAGGTAGCCTGAACTACGCACAAGCTCCATGTCAGACACCCGACCTGGCTTGCCTTTAGATATAAAGTTTATCATTCCGTCAGGCGTCGCAGAAATGACGTACTTGACACTATTACATTTTTTATACTCTGACCAGGACAAGCTTTGCGACACAGAGCGCGCTGGTTTTTCAATCTGAATCTCAAAGCAATCGATGATGCTTTCACACGACGAGAAGTTCGCCAAAAACACGTGTGGAAGGCGGTCTCGGATCGTCTGCTGATCCGGCCAGACTACCAGAGCACCCACATAGACGGCAATAACCGGCACAGAACGAGCCAACAGCCGGGACACCGTCGCAGCACTAACTCCAAATTGGTCGGCCAGTAGATGGCTAGGAGTGTCCTGTCTGAGACGGTAAAGTATCATAAAAATGACATCCCTCTTCGTAAGGCATTGGCCCCTGTCAGCAAAACTGATCCTGTTTTCCAGAAGCGAAATGATACCGAAGAGCTCTTCCGGTACTCCAATGTAACGCGCCGGGTGTTTTTCAATATTGTTCCTTATTACTTTACGGGCCATTACTTTGAAAAACGTCTCGTCTGTTGGGTCGGCCGATCCACAGGACTCCGCCTCCGAGTCAGAGGGCACATAGTCAGAGCTTTTGTCGGCATCGATAAATGAACTGGCACGCAGTCGCTGTACGCTCGGCAACACAGGCTTTTCATTGAAGAGCAGAGGTCGCGCAGCTACCTCACCGAAAAGCTCAATGGTAGAAGTTTGCGTGGATTGGTTGCAGGCAGCGTGTTGCTCAGCTTCACCCACTTCTGTGTTGACGCTGCCCGTCTGCACCGCCCGATCGCACGTTTTGACCGTAGGAACCTGCAACCAACAACAGAAAAAAGCATGAGCAGGCTATCGTGCCATATTCAGTGGCGGTGACCAGTGCAGACCACGTACTGGAGGTGGGTGGAGGTGACAGGGAGGGGGTCATTTTTACGTCACCCCTAACTCAGCCCCTGGCAAACGTAGCATATGTACAGGAAAGATCAATAACAAGCCATTGAGTATTTCATGGTGAGGTGACCCTTGGAGCGAGGGCTCCATATTCACAACTAATGACGTGGCTTGGCTTAGCTTAATCTTCCAAACTGATCAACGCCAAACTTTTTGTTACTTAAATCAACAATTATGAAGATACAAAAACAAAAAATAACTCTTGAGCAATGATGAATGTTGGTATTGCTTTTCACAGCAGTATTCATTATCAATCCCCCGGCAGGCCGCCCCCCCCCCCACACATGCAGACATCTGTGGCACAAATGCTTACAGGCATGCCTTCAGCTGGTGGCATTTCCACAGAGACAGGCTGCATATTTTCCTCCAGGCCTAGGAATGTAGTTGCAGAGCTGCCCCCTGGGCGTTCATCAGGTTGACTGGTAGCTGAAGAGTTGGCAGCATGATCTGTCTCCGCCAATCCTCCTTCAGTGCAGGAATCTGAGGCGAAACACCCAGGGCCAGGTTACCCATCGCTCATCCACACCATGTTTACTTCCAAGCACAATGCTTATTGCTGGGGAGGGGGGGGGGGGTGAAAGCTAAAAACAGTGGCATTGTCACCTATTTTTGATTGGGAGAACCAAGGCCATATTGGCAGGAACACAATTTTTTGGGTGAGTGAGTGGGGGTGGGGGCACAGACTACAGAGAATGCAAATTTGGACAGCAACTTTGAGTTGTGCCTTATCTGGCTACTTAAGTTCATCACACCTGCCAATATCACTATTAAACCAACTAAGGATGAGCACTGAGAGGTGAATGTTCCAGCAATATATTTGTCATTGGGATCACATGTTGACATGTACAGGCCATAGGCACAAAATTAAGGTCATCATATGAAACTGCTAATCAAATCAATGAAATAAGGATTTCAGAACATGTTCACTTACCTCTCTCATTATTGTATTCTGAGGCACCTGGACCTGGGTGGTTGTATAACACTTCGGCCAGCATCCTCTTTCTCCTCAGCGCAGTGCGATTCAGGCAAGACACAGAGTTCTGCACACTGCGTCTCTGACAATCAAACTTGTGAGGCACAATTTTTGCCTTAAGCCTGATCTTGCCACCCATCAGCTTCTGATACATATAATTTTCTGCATCTTTCTCCAGCTGAAATGAAGGTGGCATGTATTAGGAATTGGAACATTACTCCATTCAAGGCGCGACTAGATGACCACTGATGGTGGGTGAAATAGGTACCTAATGTGTTTTAATAGGCATTAGTAGAGCAGATGTCACACAAAGGTTTTCAAACCAAGGAGAGGTGCTGTAGATAGGTTTTAGGTTTATGGTTGTAGGTTTAGGTTGTAGGTTTTAGGTTGTAGGTGAGGTTAGGTCTGTTTATGCGTGGTTCACACCGGATCCGTAATGACGCCGTAACCGTTACGGCCGTAATGACCTAGACATTTCTCAAGATTCCCCAAGCATTGCGACTTTTCTAGACGAAGTTGAAATGTGGCAACCATCCGCCGTAAACTGGCAGCGTCCACCGTACTCGTTACGGAACGTAACAGAAGTTGGGAAAATTGAACTTTTCGGCCCGACCGGCCGCCGTAATGACTTTTGTTGACATGTATCTCCAAAACGGTTTGACTGTTTGATGACCGGTCTTCTTTGGAGATGGGATGTATTCTTTCTTCATGGAACTGTGCTATCCATAAAACTCATGAGTGCCTGTTGCAGCACGTGCCACGTGCGACGTGAGAGGTTCCAGAAGAGCTCGTCATTCCATAACTCGGGAACGGCTGAAGCGATGCAGCTCAAAATTTGTTTGTTGTTTTGGCTGGGTGCACACTACACATCCGGTGACCTTTGAATGGTTTTGAATTCCTTCAGCGCGTGCGCACGTGCACACCCCTTTTTAATATCTCGGGATCTGCTGGGCCGATAGCGCTCATATTTTGTATGCTAGAGGACACCATTTAAATATGAATATTGCACAGGTTGGCAAAGACATTAGTATGCACGTGCGCACGTGCGTACCCCTTTTTAGTATGTGGGGATCGGCTGGTCCGATGGCGCCCATATTAAGTAGAGTGAAAAGCACTACGTTTTTAAGCATGTTGCACGGGCTGGCAAAGACATTGATTTGCACGTGCGCACGTGCGCACCCCTTTTTCATATCTGTGGATCGGCTGGGCCGATAGCGCTCATATTTTGTATGCTGAATAACGCCATGTTTATAAGCAGTTTGCACGGGTTGGCAAAGACATTGATTTGCACGTGCTCACGTGCGTACCCCTTCTCCATATCTGGGGATCCGCTGGGCCGATAGCGCTCATATTTTGTATGCTGAATAACAACATTATTATTTCTTGTGAGCATGCCCTCAGCGTGTAACGCTCACGGCTTACTTTGTATCTTGTATGTGGAGTTCTGAGTTCTGAGTTTCATGGAGTTCTGAGCAAAGTTCACCGGCCATTTTGTCCCTGCTACTTGCTAAATTTGATGCTTGGACTTGTATATATTTGCAGACGTTTGAATCCACATTGACTCTTGGCAAGCCAATCGAGCAAAGGGCATAGGTACGATACAGATTCTGGCGTCCGCTAGTATTCCCACCACCCACGAATAGCAAAGAATGTAAGAAATAAACTTCAGCGTTGACGGGCATAGACATGCCCTCTTGTAATGCAAGAAATAATGCAAGAATCTCCGTCCAGTGTTCTGCCCAACGGTGTTTAATTAACAATGATATGACTGGATACAATTGCAGACCGCTATGTCAGAGCGAAATTAACAAATTAAAAGGAACAGAGTAAAACAAGTCTACATTCTGGCGCTCTGATATTAAAAACAGCTCTAGGCTTTAGCCCATTTTCCGCTTGCCTATAAACAAAATAGAGCTTTGGCGCACTTGATTCGAACGGTGACGCTCAGCGATGGCAATTCCCGGTGCACACCGAATCCGTAACCATTACGGCGTTACGGCGTCAAAAAATCGAACTACGCATGCGCGTTGCATTGTGCCCTCCACTTTCGAGATATTTTCTAATCGCCACCGTATTCATTACGGAACGTAACGGTCATTACGGATCCGGTGTGAACCACGCATTAGATTAGGTTTGGTTAAAAAGAAGCATCTCCGAGTACAGCGCCTCTCCTTAGTTGGAAAACCTTTGTGTGACGTCTGCTCTGCCAGTGCCAATACCATTTAATATTTTGATACGATGGTCAGCCCCACCCAAAGTTTGTGCCCAGTAAATTTCACGTCGATACGCGGCGCCGTTCCGGCGCTTTAAGACACATAAGGCATGACACAGCGATGATGACAACTTATAATTTATTTAGTGGGCACAAACTTTGGGTGGGGCGGACCATCGTATCAAAAGATGGGCGCAATCGGACCGAGCAGAGAGCACGCGCTCTAAGGGCGCCGAGCTGTGTGAGCTCAAATCTCGGTAATGTCGTGCTTTTTTACTATATTTCTCAAAAACGCCACCACGTGCAATAACGTTGTATATATCATTGGAAAGAGCATCAAAAGTTGTATATCCTATCAACTTTTCACTTAAATATATCTTCAACGTACAAAGTTATTAAGCACCAAAGACGCCCCCATTGACTTTCCATGTTAAAAATTTTCCATCTTAAACGAGCTTAAAAAGAACAAACGAATTCTGACAGCTTAACGAAGCAGAACAACATGTTCTATGGTCGTTTCTCAACAGGTCCTGAAAGTTTAAGCAAAATCGTATCATATAGTTTTGTACAATGAACAAATGAAAATGTCTCTGCAAAAACGCCCATTGACTTAACATGGGGAGCAAAAAAACTTCAACTTCAAACTCGTGCAACTCAACTTAACGAATTCTGACGGGTATACGACGCACACGGGCGTGTACCTGAATGTGTGGGCCATAAAATGGTGTGCAGCAAACCATACCTTGTTCCGCGATTTTTTCCGCTATTCGCGATCGCGCAAAAAGTGTCCAAAACCCCGTTGACTTAACATGGGGAAAATGGAATCGCACGTGCCACGTGCCACGAGGTTTTAAGCGAGTAGCGACCGGTGCCATCAGGTAGATCGCCTGCGGGAGCCAATACCCTGAAATTTTTACGAAGATTGAGGGATTCGTCTAGGCTGCGACCAAGATGTCTCGATTCGCTGCCAGACTTGCAAAACATAAAACATAAGACTTGCCAGACAACGGGCTATCCGGCGAGTGCACCTAATTTGACCAAATCTGCACCTAATCTCTTTTACAGCAAATATCTTTATTTTATGAATTTATTTCATTGTTTTACTCGATGATGCACTCGATGTTTTACTCGATGGCTGCTCTGCGCAGGCGCAGAGCCGTTTGGTCGGCTTGACGGCGGCTCCGCGCATAGTTATCTTGTATTCTTCACATTTCACGAGTTCCGTGACGTTTCATCGCTCAGTCGATGCGCCAAGTCTTATTCTATACGTGGTTAAATATTTCATGACTTGATTCTCTGAATTCGCCAAGATTATTGCGTCTTTTGATCTAGGTGAGTCGAGGGTGAGTCCATGGATTGATCTGAATTTGCGTCATGTTTGCCACGCTGCCAGAGGACAACTGATCCTCCGAGCCCAGATTTCGTTCTCAGCGAAAAACGTGACGTTGTGACGTGGCCAACCACGACATTGGGATACTACAATTATAAATCGGTCCTTCAGCCTGAAGATTTAAAAAACATACCGAAGTGCAATCTGACCGCTTGAAATATATTATACGAATATTCTGCAAGCTGAGCGTGGTACTCTACAGTCGGGCATATCACGGCCGGATACAGATATTGTAGGCCACTGGAAGCTAACATGGACGACACCGCTGACACATTAGATACTTTGTCGGAGGTGGCAGCTACAGCGGCCAGCAGCCCGGAGCCGGAAGTGGCAGCTACAACGGTAAGCAGCTCGGAGCTGGTGATGGCAGCTGCAGCGGTCAGCAGCCCGGAGCGGGAGCAGCCACCCGTCGCTCCGAGTCAACACATGCAACTGGAGGAGCTGTTTCCAGCTGACGCCTCTTCCGCCGAGAAGATAGAGTTGCTGGTCCGTAGCGAGACAATCTTCTCCGGCCGCTACAGTCCTGCGGAAGTGCGATGTTTTCTAGCCAGCTTGGGAGAGTGTGATCTGCGTGCTCTGCGCGGTAAGCTTCACGGCGCCCTTACGTCAGGGATCCCAGCCACTGCTGGGCGTCCGCTGCGTAACCGCCAGGCGGGTAACGTCACCGCCCTGGCCGACGACTGCTGGGAGCTCGGTTACTCTGCAGCGCAGCGCCTTCTCACTCGCCGCGTCGATTCTGCCGTCTTGAAGCCCGGTGGCCGGCCTCCGCTGCCGCCGCCGGGTTCCGCCGCCGAACCACCGCCAGGTCTGGTTAACGCAGCCACCGTGGAGGCTTCTCTGCGTTCTGTAATCGATTCGCAGTTACGAATGGACAGAGAGCTTGAGGACCTTCGTCGTCGTGCTGCCGCCGCCGATGCCCAGCGAGTCCAAGTCCAGCGGCTTGAAGAGCAGCTGTACGACCTGCAGCGTGCGTGTGCTGATCGGGACGCCAGGATTGACCAGCTGGAGGACCTACTGCGCGATATGCTGGACCACCAGTCATCGAACCGGTCAGAGACATATAACCATCTGGTTACCAATACACACGTAAAGCGGGCGAATCCGCCGGCCGCCCAGGTGAGCCAGGCGAGCCCGCCGGCCGCCCAGATGTCCCATGCGAGCCCGCCGGCCGCCCAGGTGAGCAGTCAGGCGAGCCCACCGGCCGCCCAGGTGAGCCAGGCGAGCCCGCCGGCCGCCCAGATGTCCCATGCGAGCCCGCCGGCCGCCCAGGTGAGCAGTCAGGCGAGCCCATCGGCCGCCCAGGTGACCCAGGCGAGCCCACCGGCCGCCCAGGCGACCCAGGCGAGCCCACTGACCGCCCAGGTGAGCCCACCGACCGCCCAGGTGAGCCCACCGGACGCCCAGGTGAGCCAGGCGAGCCCGCCGGCCGCCCAGGATATCGCCGCTGCCATTGACCTCGTTGCCCTCGGTAAAGCCATCGCAGACAGAATCCACTGGCGAGCTGGCGACTCTGATTCTGAAAATGACGATGAATTGGGCGGGGACGAGCGCTTTGCCAGACGGGATTTTGGGGTTCTGCCAGCGACAGATACACGACGGGCGCAGTACCCACCAGCACACCTTCCGCCTCCGCCAACAGTTACCCACGGCTCCACCGCGAGCCGGCAGCTGAACGCGCCAAGGTCGGATAATCAGCGCCCAGCTGAACTCGCCGCTGTGACGGGCGCTGGGGCGGCCTCTGACTTGGTCTTATCCCCAGGAGTGACCCAGCAGCCGGCAAAGAAAAAGTTCATTGTTTGGGGTTTTCGCCCCGACGCGTCTGATAGCTCCGTGCGTGGCCTAGTACAGTCGGTGGCTGGAGACGTATACAGTTTCCGCCGTCTGCCTGCAGACGGCCCGTCGGCTCCAGGAGCGGCCTTCATGTTCGAGACCGCCGAGTCTCGATCGGATGCCGTCATGAACTCTGCGCGATGGCCGACGGGACTCAGCGTGCGTCCTAAAGCCGATAACAACGGACGGCGACGAAGGAGATTTCGAGTCCCTGCCACTCCTGTCCAAGCCAGCCACTACACAGCCGCGACGCACCAGTCCAGTCATCCAGGTCCGCACCAACCCACCGAGCAGCCCGCCGCTAACCGCACTCAGTGGGACGCAGCGCCCACTACAGGCTACTCTCACGAGCACGGCGAGTGGACCTATGCGCGTGGCCATGCCCGAACGCGGCATCGAAACGTTGGCAGCGCACCTGCCTCCTGGGACTCCAGAGACGACAACAGCTGGCCACGGCTCGGCGGCACGGTACCCCAGCCGCGGCGTCGCTAATCGCGAACTGCCCGAAAACGCGACCATCGCCATCGGTGCCTACAACTGCGAGGGTCTGCTGTCAGCGTTCAAATATATCGATGAATATGTTCTGCCACTCTGCGATATATTAGTATTGTCAGAAAGCTGGCTGTCTCGAGCGGAGGAGGTTTACGCACCAAGAATTTTCACTTCTGCTGGACACAGTGAACTACTGGTGTTCCAGTCATTCGCAATGGAGGTGCCTCCCGGCGTGGGTGAGGGCAGAAGACGCGGAGGCCTTGCTCTCGTATGTCGCCGCCGACCCGGACTGACCTTCAAATCCTGCAGCTGTGACGACCCCCGCCTGTGCGGTGTAACGGTGCTGATGGATGGACGCCCGGTGCTGACCGTCATTGGCTGCTACATGCCGTACTGGGACGGGCAAGCCGGTAACTCGGAGGAGTACGACAGTGTTATTGCCAAGCTGGACGCTCTAATCATGGCGCTGCGTCCCTCTGCTCCGGTGGTTGTAGCCGGTGACTTCAACTGTGCACTACCGCGTCTCCCAGCAACTTCACGTCCGCCTCTGTGGCAACGACTTCGAGGGTTCACTCGGCACAGTGTCGCCATGCAGCAGCTGCTCGACCAGTACGAACTTGTGGCTGCAGAATTTCTATTCCCCCAGCAGGTGAATTTCACATACGCACGCGCCGACTGCAAGAGTCACATCGACCATATCGCTGTACCGTTTTCCCTGCTACCGCGCGTAGCTGGCTGCCAGATTCTGCCTCCACATCCAGAAAACCTCAGCCCGCACCAGCCGCTCGTCTGTCGGCTGTTGGTGGCAACTGCAGCTCCAACGGAGACGACGCACCGCGCCATCTCTCGGGCCACTCCTGTGCCTGATTCCGATCTACTTTGCTGGGACCGCGTCGACAGATTAGAAGACTACAAGCATATTCTTACCGGCATGCTCGTGACTCAACTCCCTAGTTGTGGCACCTCGCTCGATGCGCTGGACTCAACAATATCCCGCTGCCTGCTCGCCGCCGCTAGAGAGGCAGGCTGTGTTAAACAGCGGCGCCGGCCAAAACCATGGTGGACCCCTGCCACAGCAGCTGCACGTGACCGAGTACGCTTCTGGCTCCATGTCTGGACCAGCTGTGGTCGACCTCTTCATTCGACGGTCTACTCCTGCTACCAGTCAGCTAGAAGAGAGTACCGGAAAGCTCGCCGCACAGCAGCCTTAGCCCCCGTGCAGCAAGAGGCCCGTCTGTTGCACCAACTCAAGCGCAATGGGAACACCAACGCCTTCTGGCGACGGGTTCAGCGCTCTCGGCGCGGCCCTCTCCCTCCTGGGGGTGGTCGCACTGCCAGCGAGTTCGGAAGACATTTCGAGGCGGTGCACGCGGACGAGCCCTCCCTGCTAGACTCTGAGCAGGCTCAGATTGCTGCTGCAGTCGAAGAAAGGGCGCGACGCTATTCCACTCTGGCCACCACTCGGACGGTCACCGTGAGTCAAGTTGCCGACCTGTTGCGCCGCCTCCCTCTGCGCAAGGTACCGGGTGCGGACGGCGTGACGGCGGAACACCTCATCTATGGCTGTTCTCCTCCCCTGCTATCGGCACTGGCCCAGCTTCTATCGGCCTGTTTGTCTTCGTGCAATGTGCCGGCCACATTTGCAGAGAGCGTGGTAGTGCCTCTTCTGAAGAAATCCCAGCTTGATCCAAACAATCTGGACAACTACCGGCCTATTAGCCTGACATCGTGCACGTCGAAGCTGCTGGAGATGCTGTTGCTGGATGAACTTGAGGCCAGTTTCTGTCCGCACGACCTTCAGCTGGGATTCGTGAAACAGCGAGGCACCAGCGAAGCATCCATATTGGCCCTCGAGACCATTCAGTGGTGCCGACAACGAGATCTGCCAGTTTACGCGGCAAACTTGGACGCCAGGAAGTGCTTTGATAAGATCTGGCATGACGGGCTATTCCACCGTCTGGCGCAACACCTTCGTCCGAACTCATGGCTGCTCATGCTTGCCTGGTACCGCCGACTTCAGGCTCACATTGCCTTTGACGGTGCCATATCCGACTCATTCAGGATCCGCCGGGGCACCAGGCAAGGTGCTATTCTCTCGCCTATCCTAGCCAACGCCTACCTACACCCGCTCGTAGCCGCCTTGGACGTAAGCGATCTCGGTGCTGACCTATATGGTCACCACGTGCCAGCTGTCTGCTATGCCGATGATCTGCTACTCCTGTCCACCAATGCCAGAAACCTCAGCACTCTACTAGATGTGGTTGATGACTTTGCGAAGACCTGGAGGCTGGAGTTCGTCCACCCGGAGCCCGTCCGCACCAAAAGCCACTGCATGGTCTTCGGCGCCGAGCTTCTATCCGAAGTGCCAAGATGGAGCCTGTCGGGCCAGCAGCTCTCCACCCGCCAGCAGTCCGAGCACCTCGGTGTCGTACTGGATGGGAGTTTATCTGCGGCGCCACACGTCCAGCACCGCGCGTCTCGAGCTCGTGCCAGCCTGTACGGTCTCGCGCCTGCTGGTATGCTGACGTTCGGCCTCTGCCCAGCCGACAAGTGCTTCTTGTGGAAGACTATCATTCAACCGGCGCTCACATATGGCTGCGTGGCCGCCCCGCTCAATGCAAGGGACATGACGATCCTCTGTTCCGCTCAAGCGACTTCCATCAAGGTGGTTCTTGGCCTGCCTCGCTCCGCCCACCATTCGGCGCTTCTCGCTGCTGCCGACATCCAACCAGCACATGAACTGCTGCGGGCAGCGTGTTTCCGCACTTTGAAAGATGCGATGCGCTCAGAGCACCGGCTGCAGCAGGCGCTGCTGTCAGGAATCACCAAGCTGGCTATGTGCCCGACTGAGCTAGTGGGCTCATTACTGATTCAGCTTCATGAGATGTGTGACTGCAACCTTTCTGCACTCCTCGGGGTGGCAGCAGGGCGGCCGTGCAGCGACCGTATCTACCCCCAACGGGCTCCCGATGGCCTAGCTGACTCGCTTGCCTTCCTGATGAGTCGCCGGGACCAAGTATCTCGCCGCCTGCTCCGGCTATTGACATGCCCGGAGCGGGAGTGAGTGTCGCCTGCGACATCAATGTGTGGCCCCTGCTCACCCACTGTCATGCTTTGTGTGATGTTTTGTGTGTGCCTTTTTTTTCTTACTTTCTTGCCAACTTTGGTGCCTAATAAACTATGATGATGATGATGATAGGTAGGTATTTGTTAAAATGAGTTTACCAAATCACATAAGCTAAGAACTAATGGTGCTCAAACTTTGACAATTTGTACACTTTCTTCAAGCATAAACCCTAGGTATCTTGAGGCAATTTACTGCTCCCTGTCACTTATTTGCCTGCAATAAATATGGTTGAAGGTGACATCATGCCTATATTAACAATGGCACTTACTGTAAAGTGGTCCTCGCAGCAGGCAGATCCACTTGCAGATATAAGTGGCCCATCTCGACGAGCAGCATTGCTCCACAGCTTCCTCAACTTGTCTGAGCGAGGAAGCCCAATAAAAATCTTGTCGGGTGTGCTAACAGTTGTGTTAGTGCACCCAGGGACGAAACAAGTATAATAGCGTCTACTAGAGCCCTGATTTTCAGCAAAACCGGACATTTTCCTGCTGAAAAAGACTGCCCACCCACCACGAGTGCCAATTTAAAACAGCCGCCACCGGCCCCACCGGCCAACCACCGGCACTGCTCCTTACGGGCTCTTCATCTGTGACGTAACGACCGTCGCGACCAATCAGGGGGCCGTGATTTGTCAGACCCGTTTTATATTTATTTTTCATATTTATCGGCTTCAAATAAGCAAATGAATGCCACCAACATTTTTTTCGTGAAAAATTAGTAGGTAAAGTTAAATTTATTTCATTTCCTGGTAACATGAAACTAGTCCATTTGAGGTTCGCAATGGTAGTGGACTCCACATAGTGCGGGTGTTGAGTGGTCGGCAGCGAGCGAACATCATGCTTCTCAACTCGGAAGCAGCTATTGTTCTCAAGTCTCACGCATTGTGAACATTACGTAACACGTAAAAATAAAACGTAAAAATCACATCCAAGACGAAATACTCACACAGGACTGCCACTGTAGAGACCATCTTAATATTTTGCAGACAGCAACGATATCAGCATCAGATCCCTGAAGGCGGGACACTTAAGTCAGGGTAGGCAATGATTCCTAATACGCGCAGTGGAAGGGTTCCGAGAACTGCGCCCAGTGGAACGGGGTGGACGGGGCGAATGTCGCCCCCCCCAAAAAAAACATTTCAGCTCCTATGGAAGTCGAAAAGACGAAATTTGAGAGGGGCGGTGTGTTAACTCTATTGTGTTAATTTCGTGATACTAGGTCAATACCTTCAAGATCAACTAGGGTCAAACGGGGTCAAATTTGGAAGGTGAGGGTCTATTTTGCGTTTAACCCGCAGCCGTCGGGGGGGGGGACTGGGGAGCGGATCCGACCCCCCCCCCTCCGTTTTTCTGGAATCACGAACCGCTTATGCTATCAACTTGAACTCTTCAAAGAGATTTTGACGTGAACCGATCATCAGCAGCGGTAAGCAGCGCGATGCAAAGACGGAACCGTCCGGCGCCGCGCCGGTGCCGTCCGCCGCGCCACCGCTATGGCGGGATTTCTTTTTACTTTACACCCCTGTTACTTAAAAGTTGTAGCCCGATTTACTCACTGCTTTCACGGCAAAATGCGCAATTCAATTTAAGGCAGGTACTGAAACTTTCAGCACGTACCAAAAAATGATTGCGGCGTGCAGTAGCGGCGGAACACCTTCAATTAAGGGGGTGGGGGAGGGGGGGGGCACTGCCGACTTTTGGTCCCATTCTTTCCATGCAACGCCCGTAGGGCTAATGTTAAAGGGACACTCCCACCTTAAAGGGAGATAATGAGCTTTCTTTTTTCTTAAATAAAAATTACTCGACATCTATACTATTTCTACTGTAGTTTCTATAAAATATGAAAATTTCCTAGCACATTTTCGCATGTGAAAAAGGTTTTTATTTTTGCAAAAAAGAAGCAGTACTTGCAGTACTTGTAACACCCACCGAAATGCGTTGTCCTTCTCTATGAAAAAGTCGCAGTATATGGCGCTTTTGTTTCAAACAGCGACGCTTGGGTTTTTGTTTATGTTATCGCCTTGTCGTTGCTTGGTTGTAAGGATTCTAATTTGAATTAGAGTTAATTCGGTTTAGAATTAATTAGATTCTAATTCGGGGGTACATAGTGCCTACTCTTCTTTGTTTCCAAGTATTGTTTTGCGCCACAAATGAACGGCATGCGCCAGAAACGCAGCCAAATCTTGCGATTGCGACTACGAAATTCATTATTTTGGCCTCAGAGCCTGAAGCGAAAAATACAAGCATATTTATTTCAAAAAGACTTCAGGTTTGTCGAACGGTGTTATGAGAATTTTGATAACAGTACTGCATAAGTTTTTCAGTGATGCCGCAAAAGTGTTGTATCTATCTTCTTTTATTGTGCAGTCGGCGGGACCGATTCAAAATTGAGTCGTTGCAACTAAAATAGCAGCATATGGCGACAGATGATGAACAGGAAAAATAGTTGCGTAAATTTAGACATAAACCACCCCCAAACCATGAATATCTTTTGAAGGCACTATAGACGACCATTAACTAACTAGATGTGATGAAGATCAAATGTAATGAATACGCTCATTTTACAAAATTACATGCAAGTACCAAAAAGTGATGTAAGTACTTATTCAACGGTCATTTTCAGCGCTCCCCGCTAACGTGACTTCAAGTTGAGATATTTGCGGCAAGGTACCGAATTGAGCAAAATGGTTTTAATTTACATTATAACTTGTTGTGTTTTGTCAGAAAATGGTCCTAACTCAGATTTTGTGGAAAAAGGTCATAATCTCCCTTTAACATTAGTTTTGAGTTGAGATAGCCAAATTGGTGGCCATGGCCTGCAAATACCGGTTTGGGCACTCACAACATCGACAAATGCTTTAATTCGGAAATATGGAATTTCAAACTTGCAGTTTTCGGATTCTAAGGGGCTAGTGCATTGGTATGCCCCCTTAGAATTTGTGACGTCAGCGGAGATCTAACGATTTTTAAATCTTTTACTAAAACGTTTGGTAGCACGCGGTGGTATATGCTGCTTTGCGCGCAACAAATGCCGCACTTTCAAATAAAGTCGCTAGGAACAGCGGAGATCCCAAAAAGTAAACAAAAGTAAAAGTCTAATATCTTGAATACCGGTGAATATTTTTCGATGAAATTTGGTAGATATTCGTTTTCGCTCTTTCTGAACCGAGCGACATCACTTTCGTGCCAATTCATTAACTTTTTTGAAGGTGGGAGGGTCCCTTTAAAATGGCAAAATCAGGGGGGTACGGTGCCTGGTGCCCCCCTTCCGCCGCCTATGACGGCGTGATGTATTTGCGAATGAACAGGAGCAGTGGGCAAAATTCGCCCCCATCCCTTCCACTGCGCGTGTTTACAGGGTGCGCAAAAAGTTCTGACCCATTTCTGTACTTCGATAAACGAATGCAATCGGAGTGAATATTATCAACGCTAACACCAAATACTGGTTTGCATTATCAAACCAGATACTTTCACTCGCCTCATGCGCGATATAAGCCCCTTATCAGCAATGACCTTCTCCACACGGAGACAGAAAGACTTGCATATCTTGATGATGTAGGTGGAGTCCTTCGTCTCCCACATCTTCACGATGTGTGCCTCCAGGGCCTCCAAATTGGGATGGGACACTCCCTGGACCTCATCCTGCAAAACGCTCTAAATGCTTTAGTCAAGGGTTTCAGGTCGGGTGACTGAGGGGGTAATATCTCATTAAGCCAGCAATGGGCCTTTCCCCGAGCTCCTCCGTTTGTTTGTGCTGGATAGAACTTGCGTTGTTAGCGGGTGTTCTGTCGTGCTGGAAAACGAAATCGACTTTCGGATACGTCTTCAGGATCCATGGGATGACGTCACTGCCAAGCAGATGCTCATACATCGTCCCGTTCATCTTCTAACTGCCGTTAATGAAGACGGTTGGGCACTTTTTACCGCCCGAGCCGTGGGCTGTCCTGGATGGCCTCAGACACGGCAGTCACATTCTCAGAGTTTTGAGAGAACGTGACCGACTTAACCTGGGGGCATCCTCCAGGACCTCCCCCACTCGTATTTGGCTTTGATACCCGTAGTTGTTCGCAGGGGGCTCAAAATTTCATCGCAACCTGCTGAATAGTCACGCCTCGGCCGCTGCGCGCGGGTATCCAACGACATGTCAATGTGACGTTTAGCCTGCCACCATGACTGCATATAGGGCCTTGCATGACTGGACGTTAATGGTCTGCTTTGTTCGACATCTGGCTGTGTGGCAGGATCATTGAAGATATTGCGTGCGGCTATTGGCTTCCCAAAAAGCAGCCGCAGCACGCGTAGGAGCACTTACTGTAAGAGGGCCAGAACTTTTTGCGCACCCTGTATATACTTCTCGTATATATAGTACATACATACAAATACACAAGCATTGGGAGCATGAAGAAGACGGTGAGGTGACCAAGGGATAAGGTGCCTGAAAATAATACAAACAGCAGCAATATGTAATATACCAGCCATACTTCTTGCACCACGAAAGCTGACTCCATAAACGAGATGAAGACTGGTGGAAGGGAGTCTGGTGGAAATGGCCTTCTCGAGGTGGATCCCGTTAAGGGTTCCCCTCCTTGAACAGCTTTGGGGGGCTGCGGAACGGGCCCCAATCGAGTCCATCCTCCGGATCAGGCGGCCGGATCAGCCGCTGCCGACGCGCCACCCTGCTGTCCTCGACTCAGCTTGTCCTTCGGCGGGACGGGATGGGCCACGGTCCTAAAGTACCTACCGCAGCATCAGCCGCGGTATGTACTGAATGAGTTACAAGCGGGGAACGCGGTGGTACAGCCCGCCGAGGCCAGAGCTGTCGGGTCAACTATATCGCTGCTACCATCGCAATGTCCAGTCCAGGCCAGGTGCAGCCCGCACATTGCGTGTAAAGACCCGGCTGCCAGTCCCCAAAGCTCCCAGAATGGTGGCTCTTGGCCGAAAAAAAATGTAATCGACGCGCCGGTAATCCATGGCTCCATTCCACATCGACTGGGTCTCGGTGGTCCCGGGCTACCAGACTGCGGCGCACCACCATAAGGCATGAGGGAATAGGACAACGGCTCAGTGAAGGAGGGAGGGTTTTCCTGGCTGAGCAGTACACGACTTCTCTAACCCAGACACCGACTCCTAGCACCGGCTGTCCTCGCCGGACTGTTGGTTTTCTATAAACGTCCCGGCACGGTTCGTCGGAAGGTCATCTCAGGCTCAAAAGAAACGGTATATACCATTCGAAAGCTGACGGTGAGCTGAATCCAAAAATGTAATTTTTATCAAAATCGATCGATGGCCTTTTTTGAAAATTGCGTTTTTGTAAAAACTTAATAATCCTTTATTTAACGGGCTGTCCCGGACATTCTTGAAAACATACACATGTATTTTTAAGTTCCAGTGAAAGCTAAACGCCAAAAGAACAATATTTAGCGAAGCAATATTTCCAAACATTAATATGCGTCTCCCACAGCCGACAATAAGGCGCAATCACACAGCTCAGTGTCACGATGGACCAAAGTCAACCACACAGAAGCGTGAGTTGGCCCTTATCGACTCGCAGACCGGGCGCTCTTGGCCCGCCTGACCGGCCACGGAAAGAACGTTCGGCTCTCGTTCTACTAAACAAATGACATATTTGTCACTTTAACTGTCCACATCGCTATTAAAGTTATTCAGGATACCTGTGAAGAAAATTCATTGTTCTGCTTGATTTACAACATGTTTTAATTTACATTTTTCTTATACATGTTTTGTTCCATCCAGCTGCGATCAGTGCCCGCGCAGGGGAAGTGAGCGGGGTTTCACTGTCAGAGGCTGTACTGGTGACAGCTGCTCGGCCGTGCGACCGGTCAAAGGTTACCCTGCCCCACCGGGCGCCACCCCCACTCCACCCGAGCTGAGGCCGGTACAACCTCTGACATTTCAGCGCGGCCAATTTCCTTATATGGGCATGATACCAAGCTCAATTGAGCAAAGTAGACATGAACAAATGCAAATTGATGCATGATGTGAAGATGACAGAACAATGAATTTTCTTCAAAGGTATCCTGAATAGCTTTAATAGCGATGTGGGCAGTTAAACTGACAAATATGACATTTCTTTAGTAGAACGAGAGCCGAACGTTCTTTCCGCGGCCGGTCAGGCGGGCCGAGAACGCCGGGTCTGCGAGTCGATAAGGATCATTTCACGCTTCTGTGTGGCTGACTTTGGTCCATCGTGACACTGAGCTGTGTGATTGCGCCTTATTGTCGGCTGTGGGAGACGCTTATTAATGATTGGAATTATTGCTTCGCTAAATATTGTTCTTTTGGCGTTCAGCTTTCACTGGAACTCAAAAATACATGTTTATGTTTTCAAGAATGTCCGGGACAGCCCGTTGAATAAAAGATTATTAAGTTTTTACAAAAACGCAATTTTCAAAAAAGGCCATCGATCGATTTTGATAAAAATTACATTTTTGGATTCAGTTCACCGTCAGCTTTCGAATGGTATATATCGTTTCTTTTGAGCCTGAGATGACCTTCCGACGAACCGTGCCGGCCGAGCGCGAGGCGGGTATACGACATGTTGATCAAGACAGCCCATATTCAGCCCAGATTCTGCCCGGATTCAGCCCAGATTCGGGACACCTCCGATCAAGCTGAAACTCGCACACAATGTAGGCCATGACGTGCCCAATCCACAGTCCAAGTCATTCGGCGGCACTCCCAGCCGTTTGACCTACAGAGGTCAGCAAAGGTCACGTGACCCAAATTTGCACAGCAGATTGTGGCCCACCCAGTAGAGCTAGAGCGCTAAAAACGGCACCAATCGACTCACCAGCATCTAATCTTACTTTCCCAATACTCATTGACCTCTTAATGTCATGCGATGACCTAAGGTCATTTGTGGGCTATGTCGAAAATACACTAGCACAGCAATTTTCGAGTAGAGGGATTGACCGAATTCCAAATCAAAGCACATCATCGGGTAGCCCATAGGCCGTAGTAAATTTCCTTAAAAACCGCTTCTCGATATGTGACCCCGTTTGACCTCGGCAGGTCAAAATGTGCAAATAAACGACACTCCATACGTCGCAGCCCGGATTCAGCCCAGATTCGGGACACCTCTGATCAAGCTGAAACTCATGCAATGTAGGACATGACGTGCCCAATCCACAGTCCAAGTCATTCGGCGGCACTCCCAGCCGTTTGACCTACAGAGGTCAGCAAAGGTCACGTGGCCCAAATTTGCACAGCAGATTGTGGCCCACCCAGTAGAGCTAGAGCGCTAAAAATGGCACCAATCGACTCGCCAGCATCTAATCTTACTTTTCCAACACTCATTTGACCTCTCAAGGTCATGCAATGACCGAAGGCCTTTTGTGGGCTATGTCGAAAATACACTTGCACAGCAGTTTTCGAGTAGAGGGATTGACCAAATTCCAAATCAAAGCACATCATCGGGTAGCCCATAGGCCGTAGTAACTTTCCCTAAAAACCGATTCTCGATATGTGACCCCGTTTGACCTCGGCAGGTCAAAATGTGCAAATAAACGACACTCCATACGTCGCAGCCCGGATTCAGCCCAGATTCGGGACATCTCCAATCAATCTGAAACTCGCACACAATGTAGGCCATGACGTGCCCAATCCACAGTCTAAGTCAGTCGGCGGCACTACCAGCCGTTTGACCTACAGAGGTCAGCAAAGGTCACGTGGCCCAAATTTGCACAGCAGATTGTGGCCCACCCAGTGGAGCTAGAGCGCTAAAAATGTCACCAATCGACTCGCCAGCATCTAATCTTACTTTCCCAACACTCATTTGACCTCTCAAGGTCCTAAGGTCATTTGTGGGCTATGTCGAAAATACAATTGCACAGCAGTTTTCGAGTAGAGGGATTGACCGAATTCCAAACCAAAGCACATCATCGGGTAGCCCATAGGCCGTAGTAACTTTCCTTAAAAACCGCTTTTCGATATGTGACCCCGTTTGACCTCCGCAGGTCAAAATGTGCAAATAAACGACACTCCATACGTCGCAGCCCGGATTCAGCCCAGATTCGGGACACCTCCGATCAAGCTGAAACTCGCACACAATGTAGGTGCTGACATGCCCAATCCACAGTACTATTCATTCGGTGGCACTCCCAGCCGTTTGACCTACAGAGGTCAGCGAAGGTCACGTGGCCCAAATTTGCACAGCAGATTGTGGCCCACCCAGTAGAGCTAGGGCGCTAAAAATGGCACAAATCGACTCGCCAGCATCTACTCTTACTTTCCCAGCACTCATTTGACCTCTCAAGGTCATACGATGACCTAAGGTCATTTGTGGGCTATGTCGAAACTATACTTGCACAGCAGTTTTCGAGTAGAGGGATTGACCGAATTCCAAATCAAAGAACATCATCGGGTAGCCCATAGGCCGTAGTAACTTTCCTTAAAAACCGCTTCTCGATATGTGACCTTGTTTGACCTCGGCAGGTCAAAATGTAGAAATAAACGACACTCCATACGTCGCAGCCCGGATTCAGCCCAGATTCGGGCTGACCTTTGCTGACCTCTGTAGGTTAAACGGCTGGGAGTGCCGCCAAATGACCCGGAGTGTGCCAGGACCTACATCGTGTGCGAGCTTCAGCTTGATCGGAGATGTCCCGAATCTGGGCTGAATCCGGGCTGCGACGTATGGAGTGTCGTTTATTTGTACATTTTGACCTGCCGAGGTCCTACGGGGTCACATATCGAGAAGCAGTTTTTAAGAAAAGTTACTACGGCCTATGGGCTACCCGATGATGTGCTTTGATTTGGAATTCGGTCAATCCCTTTACTCGAAAACTGCTGTGCAAATGTATTTTCGACATAGCCCACAAATGACCTTAGGTCATCGCATGACCTCGAGAGGTCAAATGAGTATTGGGAAAGTAAGATTAGATGCTGGCGAGTCGATTGGTGCCATTTTTAGCGCTCTAGCTCTACTGAGTGGGCCACAATCTGCTGTGCAAATTTGGGCCACGTGACTTTGCTGACGGACATATAAAGCAGAACTATGTCGCGTCATCGGTGATTACATATCATGTTTCTTTGGTATATACATTGAAAAATAAAACACTTTTTACTGCATCTACGGTGAGATGCTAGAGAAACTTGTATGGCCTACCTAATGGTACCCATTACTAAACAATTAGGTGAAACATGTCGTCGCCAAACTCTCTACATTCGTATGTCCGCCTCACTATGGAGTTTGGACCGGAACGACGATAAACGATGAAATTTGCTAGTTGAGGCTGATCAGTTCGTCCATTTGCCGTCTTCGCTGACCATTTGCATATACCGGCATTACATGTGTGATCTGCGGTATCTCACCTCTGACATTGAGGCACCAGAGGTCCTCCGGCATCAGCCACCTCAGTAGCGGGAGGTCGGCGGCGATGACTGATAGGCGCTCCAGCTCAGGGCACCTGGTGAGGGGTTCCAGGCTCACGGTGTCAGGGACGCCGCCGGACAGGGTGAGATAATACAGCTCAGGGCACCTGGTGAGAGGCTCCAGGCTCACGGTGTCAGGGACGCCGCCGGACAGGGTGAGATACTGCAGCTCAGGGCAACTGGTGAGAGGTTCCAGGCTGCCGGCCGTGTGATCAGTACAATCTGGAAAACACACAGACACACATATAGACAGGATCAGTTGGCTGTAATACATGTCGATATATGACAAAACGAAAAAAACACCTAATAACCCACATGGTTTTATGGACAAAGTAGACAATGGTAAAACAGTGCTATTATATGATATATGCAATCAGTTAAGCAAATGCATTGAACTTCATTGAACAGTGCAACACAATTGTTATGAGTATGATCAACTAACTCTGAACGAATATGTCACTGAGTGAACAGTCCTCCTCCATTTTGGAGCCCAGTTAGCTTCATTATTTCGCAAAGCACATTGGCTATGTATCACACCTGTCTCCATAAGGTCCGACAACGTCACACCTCAACTCGGTGTCCGCCATTCGCTGAGCTCGTATATCATCGGCCTGTCCGTGCTGCCGCTGCTCACCGTATATCTCCAGTAGTCCGACCGTCCGTCCCAGGTCAGCCAGGTGACTGATGGTGTCGGCAACCACCCCCTGGAGCGACACTGACAGACAATCCAAGTACAGTCCCGGCCACCTCGGCTCCGTCACCTCCGGCCCTGTCGGACAGAGCTGTGTCAGCTGACTGCAGTCGGACAGAGCTGCCGCCAGCTATGTCCGTCAATATTCAGCCCAGATTCAGCACGGATTCAGCCCAGATTCGGGACACCTCCGATCAAGCTGAAACTCGCACACAATGTAGGACATGACATGCTTAATCCACAGTCCAAATCATTCGGCGGCACTCCCAGCCGTTTGACCTACAGAGGTCAGCAAAGGTCACATGGCCCAAATTTGCACAGCAGATTGTGGCCCACCCAGTAGAGCTAGAGCGCTAAAAATGGCACCAATCGACTCGCCAGCATCTAATCTTACTTTTTTAACACTCATTTGACCTCTCAAGGTCATGTGATGACCTAAGGTCATTTGTGGGCTATGTCGAAAATACACTTGCACAGCAGTTTTCGAGTAGAGGGATTGACCGCATTCCAAATCAAAGCACATCATCGGGTAGCCCATAGGCCATAGTAACTTTCCTTCAAAGCCGCTTCTCGATATGTGACCCCGTTTGACCTCGACAGGTCAAAATGTACAAATAAACGACACTCCATACGTCGCAGCCCGGATTCAGCCCAGAATCGGGACATCTCCGATCAAGCTAAAACTCGCACACGATGTAGGTCCTGACATGCCCAATCCACATTTCGAGTCATTCGGCGGCACTCCCGGCCGTTTGACCTACAGAGGTCAGCAAATGTCACGTGGCCCAAATTTGCACAGCAGATTGTGGCCCACCCAGTAGAGCTAGAGCGCTAAAAATGGCACAAATAGACTCGCCAGCATCTACTCTTACTTTCCCAGCACTCATTTGACCTCTCAAGGTCATGCCATGACCTAAGGTCATTTGTGGGCTACGTCGAAACTATACTTGCACAGCAGTTTTCGAGTAGAGGGATTGACCGAATTCCAAATCAAAGAACATCATCGGGTAGCCCATAGGCCGTAGTAACTTTCCTTAAAAACCGCTTCTCGATATGTGACCCCGTTTGACCTCGGCAGGTCAAAATGTACAAATAAACGACACTCCATACGTCGCAGCCCGTATTCAGCCCAGATTCGGGCTGACCTTTGCTGACCTCTGTAGGTTAAACGGCTGGGAGTGCCGCCAAATGACTTGGAAGGTGGATTGGGCATGTCAGGATCTACATCGTGTGCGAGTTACAGCTTGATCGGAGATGTCCCGAATCTGGGCTGAATCCGGGCCGCGACGTATGGAGTGTCGTTTATTTGTACATTTTGACCTGCTGAGGTCAAACTGGGTCACATATCGAGAAGCGGTTTTTATGGAAAGTTACTACAGCCTATGGGCTACCCGATGATGTGCTTTGATTTGAAATTCGGTCAATCCCTCTACTCGAAAACTGCTATGCAAGTGTATTTTCGACATCGCCCACAAATGACCTTAGGTCATCGCATGACCTTGAGAGGTCAAATGAGTGCTGGGAAAGTAAGAGTAGATGCTGGCGAGTCGATTTGTGCCATTTTTAACGCTCTAGCTCTACTGGGTGGGCCACAGCCCACAATCTGCTGTGCAAATTTGGGCCACGTGACCTTTGCTGACCTCTGTAGGTCAAACGGCTGGGAGTACCGCCGAATGACCCGGAGTGTGGATTGGGCATGTCAGGACCTACATCGTGTGCGAGTTTCAGCTTGATCGGAGATGTCCCGAATCTGGGCTGAATCCGGGCCGCGACGTATGGAGTGTCGTTTATTTGTACATTTTGACCTGCCGAGGTCAAACTGGGTCACATATCGAAAAGCGGTTTTTATGGAAAGTTACTACGGCCTATGGGCTACCCGATGATGTGCTTTGATTTGGAATTCGGTCAATCCCTCTACTCGAAAACTGCTGTGCAAGTGTATTTTCGACATAGCCCACAAATGACCTTAGGTCATCGCATGACCTTGAGAGGTCAAATGAGTGTTGGGAAAGTAAGATTAGATTCTGGCGAGTCGATTGGTGCCATTTTTAGCGCTCTAGCTCTACTGGGTGGGCCACAATCTGCTGTGCAAATTTGGGCCACGTGACCTTTGCTGACCTCTGTAGGTCAAACGGCTGGGAGTGCCGCCGAATGACTCGAAATGTGGATTGGGCATGTCAGGACCTACATCTTGTGTGAGTTTCAGCTTGATCAGAGATGTCCCGAATCTGGGCTGAATCCGGGCTGCGACGTATGGAGTGTCGTTTATTTGTACATTTTGACCTGCCGAGGTCAAACGGGGTCACATATCGAGAAGCGGTTTTTAAGGAAAGTTACTAAGGCCTATGGGCTACCCGATGATGTGCTTTGATTTGGCATTCGGTCAATCCCTCTACTCGAAAACTGCTGTGCAAGTGTATTTTCGACATAGCCCACAAATGACCTTAGGTCATCGCATGACCTTGAGAGGTCAAATGAGTGTTGGGAAAGTAAGATTAGATGCTGGCGAGTCGATTGGTGCCATTTTTAGCGCTCTAGCTCTACTGGGTGGGCCACAATCTGCTGTGCAAATTTGGGCCACGTGACCTTTGCTGACCTCTGTAGGTCAAACGGCTGGGAGTGCCGCCGAATGACTTGGACTGTGGATTAGGCATGTCATGGCCTACATTGTGTGCGAGTTTCAGCGTGATCGGAGGTGTCCCGAATCTGGGCTGAATCCGGGCTGAATCTGGGCTGAATATGGGCTGTCTTGATCAACATGTATACGACCCCATCACGCCGTTTCGCCCCTGATGGCGCTAGAGCCTCACGAGAAAAGAGCGCGTGCGTCGTTAGGAGACGAAGCAATTGTTACCCCACTTTGAGGTTTCAGGTCAACCGATGACCACTGAGGTCAGGACAAGTGCCAAAAGGCACGGGCTCGTTTTTGGGTAAATAACTTTGCTAAAAATTGTTGGAGAGACACGAATTTAGCACTACCTATCGTCTTTGTCTTGCTCAGGCGCGTCGAAGTCCGGGTGAGGTCAACTGCAGGTCAAAGCCAGGTCAGAGACACTCAGGTCACGAACTTGGTCAAAGGATATCATATCGCATATCAGTCAATTCGGTAGGTCGTTCCAAGTACATTGGTGGCTTTCCTGGCTCGCTAGCTCAATTTGATCGGGAGGTATTAGCGAAAAACTTATGACCTCAGTGACGTCATAAGTGATGTCATGCAAGGTCAACAATACAAAAGTGAAGCATCGGACCTTGCAAGGATCGGACCTTGCAAGGAGTGCATGAAATTACGATTCCATGTGCTTGAGATATTTTTAGATAATTCTCGGCGCCAAAATAACAGTTTCCATATTTCCCCTTGACTTATAGGTGACATCACATTCAGGTCACAGACTTCACCTCATGTGACCTTTAGGAAAAATCCGAGACATAGGTAGGTACTAGTTGTGAGACCTCTGAAAGATACTACGCCCTATAAGTTTTAATTCCCTGTGGAAGTTCCTCTGGCACTGAGGACGTTGCGAAGTTGCGACATCTGAGGACTGTGCAGAGGTTCACTTATGACGTCATAGGTCAGTGACCTGACCTGACCTGAAAGTGTGGTTGGAGTCACAAGATCAGGCTTGAATCAAAGGTCGGGTATGGCAAGGTTCAGCTCTCTATCGCCGGCGCGCTCTGAGCTATAAAAACCAATGGGTGGGGGGGACCAATGACCTTGACCTCAGATTTTTTTAATGTGCCACTGCTTCTCGATGAGACGAACACAGTGGTGGCCGAAATTTTCCAATATCTCTAAAAATGAAGATTTTATAGGGTACGGCGACTTTTAAAAAGACCTTGACCTTGACCTATGACCTTGACCTCGTTTTTTTTTAAATGTGCTACTGCTTCTCGATGAGACGATCAGTGGTCAAGCCGTGGTGGCCGAAATTTTCCAATATCTTCAAAAATGATTATTTTATAGGGTACGGCGACTTTTAAAGTGACCTTGACCTTGACCTATGACCTTGACCTCATATTTTTTTAATGTGCTACTGCTTCTCGATGAGACGAACACACTGATGGGCGAATTTTTCAAATCGGACCATAAACAAAGATTTACAGGGTACGCAGTGTTTTGACCTCTCAAGGTCAAACGGTTTGACCTAAGAAAAAACGGTCACCATTTTCGAACTCAGCATGCCTAGGCTATCTGTATGCTAATTTTGAGCGAAATCATTGCTCCAATTTGATTCAAAATATTTTCGTTTAAAGTGACCTTGACCTTCACATATAACCTTGACCTCGGATTTTTTTTAATGTGCTACTGCTTCTCGATGAGACGAACACAGTGGTGGCCGAAATTTTCCAATATCTCCAAAAATGAAGATTTTATAGGGTACGGCGACATTTAGACCTTGACCTTGACATATGACCTTGACTTCGGATTTTTTAAAAGCGCTACTGTTTCTCGATGAGACGAGCACACTGGGGGGCGAATTTCTCAAATCGGACCATAAACAAAGATTTACAGGGTACGCAGTGTTTTGACCTCTCAGGGTCAAACGGTTTGACCTAAGAAAAAACGGTCACCATTTTCGAACTCAGCGTACCATGGGCTATCTTGTATGCCAATTTTGAGCGAAATCATTACTCGAATTTTAATTCGAATATTTTCTTTTAAAGTGAACTTGACTTTGACCTATGACCTTGACCTCAGATTTTTTTGATGTGCCACTGCTTCTCGATGAGACGAACACAGTGGTGGCCGAAATTTTCCAATATCTCTAAAAATGAAGATTTTATAGGGTACGGCGACTTTTAAAGTGACCTTGACCTTGACCTATGACCTTGACCTCGTTTTTTTATCGTTTTTTTTTAATGTGCTACTGCTTCTCGATGATAGTGGTCACAGTGGTCACAGTGGTCAAGACGTGGTGGCCGAAATTTTCCAATATCTTCAAAAATGAATATTTTATAGGGTACGGCGACTTTTAAAGTGACCTTGACCTTGACCTATGA